AAATTCTTGGTAAACAACTTAGGAACTGCCTCTTCCATTTCTTTAAAAACTTCAGGGCAGGCCGGGCGTGGTGGCTCACGCCTGTAATCCTAGCTCTCTGGGAGGCCGAGGCGGGCGGATTGCTCGAGGTCAGGAGTTCGAAACCAGCCTGAGCAAGAGTTCGAAACCAGCCTGAGCAAGAGCGAGATCCTGTCTCTACTATAAATAGAAAGAAATTAATTGGCCAACTAATATATATAGAAAAAATTAGCTGGGCATGGTAGCGCATGCCTGTAGTCCCAGCTACTTGGGAGGCTGAGGCAGAAGGATTGCTTGAGCCCAGGAGTTTGAGGTTGCTGTGAGCTAGGCTAACGCCAGGGCACTCACCCTAGCCTAGGCAACAAAGCGAGACTCTGTCTCAAAAAAAAACAAAAAACCTCAGGGCAACTTGAACCTATGCTCCTCAAATTCTTAGCGACAGAAAGTAGAATTGTGGTTGCTAGCGTCTGGAAGGAAGGGAGGAAGAAGGGGTTATTGTTTAATGGATCCGAAGTTTCAGTTTGAGAAGATGAACAAGTTCTGGAGATGGATGATGGTAACGGTTGTGTTAGGTAGATAGCGAGGGATTCTGGGTCTCCTAGCGACAGAAGTGGATGCTGGTGCTTTGGTACAACTGTCTCACCTGGGAGGAAGGCCCCCATCTTGGTCCTGCCCCACCCTAATCTCCCAAGCAACTGTCATACCTGGGGAGAAGGGAATACCCTATGAATCTGCCAATAAACTTAGTGCGCCAGCTGCAAAAGAATAAAGACAAGATACCATAGAGTCTGGAAATTGACCTAGAACAACCGGCATGTATTGTAATGCAACTCCCAACTGTCCAATCAAAGTGGCTCCATGGTGACATCTGAGGCACCAGGGCAGTCCCAATCCAGCACTATAAAACAAGACACAGACCATACCAAGTCCTTTTTTTGCGCCCTTCCTTTTGCTCTCCCTTTGCTACAACAATGGGTCCAGTCGTCATCTGTGGCGTATTTATCATGCTGTTGCCCTATAATCCCATCTTTCTCTCCTCAATAAACCTCATTTTCGTGCTTGCCTTACTTTGTTTGGTGTGCCTGATCATTCTTCAGCCATGAGCACACTAAAAACAGACATTTCAGACTAAAACTTGACAGTTGTACAGTAATATGAAAGTACTTAATGGTACTGAACTATACATTTAAAAATGGTTAAGATGATAACTTTTATGTTGTGTACATTTTACCACACCTTAAAAATACATATTTAAAACATTTAAGAAAACTTTCCTGAAATAAAGAAATATGAAAAAAAGAAGGAAAAAAATGAACCCTCCTCTGGAAGCCAGTACTTTTCAAATCCAGGGAAATGATGTAGATACAAAGAGACAACAAACCAGAGGAAAATCTTTTGACCTCTATTGAATAAGTACATGTAGAACATTTATAGCTATGTGTCTCAACCTTTCTTTCAAGAATGTGTTCCTCGTGGAACATTTTTAGACATTTTTTCCTAATCATCTCCCGATGAAAGTTTAATATCACAGATATACCATATATGTTTATGTACCATGGCCACAAACTATATGTAGTATCTAAGATTTTCCTCCAAGGAATCAATTTTTACCCTCTTGGGGGCAATATCCCCCTCTTTGAGAATGCATGATTTACAGTATTAGCCACTCCACAAACAGCAAATTTGACTGAAATGATCAGAGGACTGGGTTCAATGCCAAAACATGTCCAAAGTCTTATACCAATATTAAAAGTGTCTGCACATTGCTAAATATCTGAACAAAAACTGAGAAATTCATTTTTAATGTCTCTAAATATCTGGACATTGGCATTATCTAGGTAAATAACAGTATTTTGATAAGTTTAATTCAGATATTTGGTATAATGGATAGAGAATGTCACATTACAATCATTTTTTTTTTTTTGAGACAGAGTCTCACTCTGTTGCCTGGGCTACAGTGCCGTGGTGTCAGCCTAGCTCACAGCAACCTCAAATTCCTGGGCTCAAGGGATCCTCCTTCCTCATCCTCCAGAGTAGCTGGGACTATAGGCATGCGCCACCATGCCCAACTAATATATAATATATATATTAGTTGTCCAGCTAATTTCTTTCTATTTTTTTAGTAGAGATAGGGTCTCACTCTTGCTTAGGCTGGTCTCGAACTCCTGAGCTCAAACTATCCACCTGCCTCGGCCTCTCAATGCATTGTTTGACCATTACAGAGTTCATTTTCCCACATGGTAATATGACATATGCAGATTTTACAGGAAAACTCTGTAACTTTTCTTATTAAATGAAATTTAAGGTTATAATTTTGCTTCTCAAAGTGTGGACCTTGGGTCAGCAACATCAGCATCACCTAGGAGATTATTAAAAAGGCAGAAGCACAAGCTGCCCCCCAGAACTGCTGAAACAGAATCTGAACTTCAACAAGATCTTTAGGTCATGCTTATGCACATTAATTGAGAAGCACTGCCTTAATAGACAAATATAGTTGACCCTGAACAATAAGTGCTTGAACTGTGTGAGTCCACTTAGACATGGATTTTTTTTCAACCAATGGCAGATTAAAAATACAGTATTCACGGGATGAGAAAGCTGAATATATAGAGTGCCAACTTTTCATATATGCCAATTCCATGGTTGACTGTGAGACTTGAGTATGTGCAGATTTTGATACATGGCAGTCCTCGAACCAATCCCCCAGGTACACCAAGGAATGACTATATCAAAATATATCCACAATTCATAAGAGCATTTTATTTTTAACCAAATAGTTTATTACTCCACTAATGTAATTATGTAATAATAGAGAGCTTATAAAGGCACAAACTAGAAAAGGACTGTATGAGATTTTTCTGTTGCTGCTGCCTGGGCTAAAGCACAGTGGCATCATTATATCTCACTGCAATCTCAAATTCCTGGGCTCAAGTGATCCTCCTGCCTCAGCCTCCCAAGTAGCTGTGACTACAGGTGCACGCCAAGCGTCACCACACCTGGCTAATTTTTTTATTTTTTATTGAGACAGGGTCTTCCCTAGGCTGGTCTCAAACTCCTGGCCTCAGACTATCCTCCTGCCTTGGCCTCCCAAAGTGCTGGGATTATAGGTGTGAGCCACTGCACTCAGCCTCATGTGAGGATTTTTTAAAAATCACCAGAGATGCAAAACATGCAGATTTCTATCCTGGGACTCCCTCTGAAAAAAGTCAATTCAGGTAGTTTATGCTCTGCCAACATTTAGCTTTCCAACGTGGAAGGAAATGTCTTGAGATGAGCAAGGTAAATAGGTAGCAGGATATCCATTTCCTTATAATCCCAGCTGTTGTACCCAAAAATGGCTTAATCACAAATGGATGTCTCTCCCCCAAATATTAGCCCAAGCACCCCTATCAATTCCACCATACAGCTTCGCTCTCTGAAAGGTCTAAAACATTTTCATGTGGTCTTCTTAAAGGTGAAGGGTTATGATGGTTATCAACTAAAACTTTCCCAGTTAAGTCTAAACAGGGAGTAGGTGGTAGCCAAGTATGAGTGGGGAAGGGGAAGGGCCCTAGGGAAATCAGAGCCCTGGAAAGAAGTTGACCTCTTCCCATTGTACCTCTGCTAATATCCCCAGTGACCTGCTAGCAAGTCCAAGCTCTGCCACTTACTATCTGGGGGACCTGAAGCCAATTATTCAATCCTTTCAAGTTTTAATTTCCTCCTCTATAAAATAAGGCCAATTACACCTACCTCAAATGCTATTATGAGGGCTAAATGAGATCCTGCTGGTCAACTCCCAAAACAAATGTTTAATAAGTGTTAATTCCCAATCCACTAACTCCCCGGGGGGAATAGTGGAATATTTTCATCCAAGTTTGAAAGGAAAATGTTTTACCTTACAGTCAGTCGCAAATTAAAAAGAACAGGAAGTGCTTTCATCATAAACCACATATACTAGCTTTAATGAGCCTCTTTACCAATACTGTGAGGCGGCATGATACTCTCCAGCCTGTTAAAAATTACACAGCCCTGAAACTGTCCGTAGCAGAGAGCTGACTTCCCCTATTAGATGTGTTCATATGTCCTCCTCCCATAGAAAATAATGGAAAGCTAACAAATTGGTTTAAAAATGCTAAACCACCAGAAAACCTTAGTTTATAAGAAATCACAGCAAAATGCCTATAAATAATTTTAAGGCAACTTCAAAAAATTGGTTTTTTTTTTTTTGAGACAGAGTCTCACTTTGTTGCCCAGGCTAGAGTGAGTGCCGTGGCATCAGCCTAGCTCACAGCAACCTCAATCTCCTGGGCTCAGCGATCCTACTGCCTCAGCCTCCCGAGTAGCTGGGACTACAGGCATGCGCCACCATGCCCGGCTAATTTTTTGTATATATATTTTTAGTTGGTCAATTAATTTCTTTCTATTTTTGGTAGAGATGGGGTCTCGCTCAGGCTGGTTTCGAACTCCTGACCTTGAGCGATCCGCCCGCCTCGGCCTCCCAAAGTGCTAGGATTACAGGCGTGAGCCACCGCGCCCGGCCTCAAAAAATTGGTTATTTAAGAAACACAAAGGCCGGGCGCTGTGGCTCACGCCTGTAATCCTAGCTCTTGGGAGGCCGAGGCGGGCGGATTGCTCAAGGTCAGGAGTTCAAAACCAGCCTGAGCAAGAGCGAGACCCCGTCTCTACTATAAATAGAAAGAAATTAATTGGCCAACTAATATATATATATAAAATTAGCCGGGCATGGTGGCGCATGCCTGTAGTCCCAGCTACCCGGGAGGCTGAGGCAGAAGGATCACTCGAGCCCAGGAGTTTGAGGTTGCTGTGAGCTAAGCTGATGCCACGGCACTCACTCTAGCCTGGGCAACAAAGCGAGACTCTGAAAAAAAAAAAAAAAAAAAAAAAAAGAAACACAAGACTCTTAGAAATCTTAGAGACCAACCCACTGCCCATTTTGGCTACATCAGCCCTACTTGGTTACAAATATCTGCCCATCTCACCCTTGGGAGTTCAGCATCAGGCCAAGAAAGCCAAAAGGTCAAGTTCAGCCAAGGCCCTCATGTTCTTCCTGTTAACCTGGGGGGCACAAAAATCAAGAGGCCACCAGATCAGTGTCAGCTATCAGTCAAAAGGAAACGGTTTTTTTCGGGAGTAATTCTTTGTTGGTCTCAGAATAATTAGAAAATCTTCCCCCTCAGAAATACTCTCCATGACTCTGTAGCTTCTGAGAGGGTTTCTTTTACTGTCTGAGACCAGGACCTGTTTCAGGACACAGTGAAAAGAGAACAGTTTGCCTCCGTTTTCTCAGTGAGGGAGTCTGGATCCGGACTAGATTATGCTGTCCTTGGCCATCACCTCACACTGGAAAGGATGCTGACAAATGTTTCACAACACACGTGCTGTGTACTGATTTCACGTGCTAACTCATCCCAGGCTGACTCTTCTGTCACCCCAGTGCCTGTTCCCTGCCCAACTGTGTCTTTAGCCTAAGCAGAATGATGTTAGAAAGACGGTGGGGGGGGGGGAGTGGATCATACATTGTATTTTGAAGCCAAATAAAAAGCCTTCAAGGTTATCTGCATGTTTAGATGATCTGTGTGGCTCATCCCCTCTTCTGTCAGGGATTACTGAGAATGGTGAATGAGACTTGGAAATTTTTCTCTCCTTTTATCATCTAAACAACCTACTATTTGACTAAGAGAGGCAAAAAGAAAAATTCCACCTGGCCAGCTATGTATTTCTTTAGATGCCAGATTTAAATTGAGGTAATATATATTACTAAGTGCTTAAATCTTACATAACTGTCATTATCTTTAGGACAACTCCCCTCACCCACTACAAAAAGTTCACTAGTCCCTGTGGAGAAAATCTCTAATCCATTCCTATCTAGAAATATGCTTTTATTCAATTAAATCCCCCTAAAATTTAGACTATTATAAATCTGGGGGTTTACCCAAGTTATCAACTTTCAGGTTTCCCTCAATCATAAAATTTCATTTTATAGCAAGTAATATAAGAATTAATGAGGACATACTATAAAATATTTCAATTTACTTTTTTTATATATATAGATACAGTTTCATGCCTACCCTTGGTGGGAAAGTACATCTCTAAACCCACACATCAAACCTCCTGGGAGATTTCTGCCTTGGAGTATCACAGTTCTACATCACAGACTAAACATAAATTGTTACATTAGATTTATGCTACTTCATCACCCATTCTATCCACCTCCTCCCTCAGCATCTTAGCCCTTCCTGGGCCTTTAAGGCAAACACACAAGATTCTTACTATTACTGACTATAAAAACATCCCAGATTTTCTTTCCCCAAAAAACTGTCCCCCCTCCCCCAATATTTTGTCCCAAAGCAGGTATGACTATTCAAACATCACAAAGTGATTCCAAAGGAAAGAATCTGAATAGGGGAAAAGGAAAGGGGGGAGGTGGGGGGTGGGAGTTAGCATTTAAGATACTTTTTCATATTAAATATCAAATAATAAAAATATACCTTTGTGTTTGAAGAGTCAAGTCTTACAAATACGTAAAAGCAAACCAATTGTTTCCAGCTGTAATCAGCGACAATAACCCGAGTACGTGACAGCGTGAGACAGATGATCAGTTTCCCTTTGAGGTCACTAGACGAGCGGCCGCGGAGCAGCCCTTTCTCCACGGGCGCGCCGCCGTCGCCCTGGGGCCCGAGAGGCCGGCGGCGCGCCGCCCCTTTATAGCGCCGGCCTGCGCGCACCCGGGGGCGGGGGCTGCGGGCCGGGTCTCCGCAGTGCAGGGCTCGGCATCCGCGCCCCGCGGGCTGCGTGGGCTCCGAGGAGGCGGGGGAGGGGCAGCGAGCGCTCGGTGTGTGGATTTTTTTCTGCACACTGGAAATTCCCAGGCCGAAAAGGTACCGACCCGAGTCCCGGACATTCCCCTCGAGGGCCGGCTCCAAGACCCGGACTGGAACCGCGCAGGGGAACCCGAGGCAACATCTATCTCTAAACAACTTCTTTCTTAAGAACTCTTTTTTTTTTTTTTAAATGTCCCAGTGACTCTACTGCTGGGCATTAGAGTTTCCTCCTCCTTATATTCACCTCCCCTTACTTTCGCTTTTTCTGTATGGCCTCAACAAGTGGGGATTGAGTGGGGGGGGGGGTACCTTGTACAACAGCTCTTTAAATGTGGCGATCAAAAAGCAGTGTGGCTGTCCGGTGCCTCCGTTGACTGACTAAAGGACAAGGGATCTGCAGCAGGAATCAGTGGTCCCGGAACGCGAAGATCGCTTTATTTCCATGGGGGATGGGAGCGGGGTGCGTTTAAACAGCGAACGAAACATTGCACAACACAGAAAGGATTTCTCCCGAGACATTTGGTTTCACTGTTGCTTCTTTTCCTTTTGGAACAATTGCTACTGTAATCTCTGTACTGCTTCCTTTTTTTTTTTTTTTCTTCCGTAAATTATCTAACCCCAAGCAGTGTTACAATCCAGTTTTGTGATTACACAGGAAATGATGGCTGTCTGGTTCTCCTGTAGGGATGGGCATCTGGAGGTACACATCATCAGGTCCTTAAAGCTCAGAGGGCTGATTTCCTCTCATTTAATGAAGAATGTTCAAAAGGAAATATATATATACATATATATATATATATTTAAGTTCACACTTTTTAAAGAAGTAAAAATGTAAGTGCACTTTTAAGAGACAAGTTAGATTGAAGTTGATAACGTGCATTTTGTGCTCTCCTATCCTCTGTGTTCTATAAACTTCTGCCCTCAACCATCTTCTCATCTTCCACCACCACCCCATCCCCATGCTCCCAGGATTCCCAGGTGCCTTTAACACTCAGGGGCTGTGGTTTCACTTTCAAAGTGAAAAATGGCAACTTTGAAATCTTATTTATTCATTGCACATTGAGGTGTTAGGCATTCTGAGTGCACTGACTGCATTGTAGACATAAACCCTGGGTAGAATAATGCTTAAAGCAAGAAAATAAATACATGTAAAATGGGATTTCTGGCATTAGTAACTAGTTAATGTAAAAAAGCTGTATTTACCCAAAACCCACAAACAAAATGCTGAGCAGTTTTTTTGGAGGGTTGGGGAGGCTTATTTCTGTTGTTTCCCTTGGGTATTTATTTCCTTATAACTCTCTCTCGCAGTGACTGCCATTTCCTTAATAGGGTCCAGAAACAGACTCATTTCTGGCATGTAACATATGAATATGTAAAAGCTTACCATATTTATTCTTGTCAAGTACCCTACCCTGATTTATCAATCTGAAACCTCATAACTGAAGACAGGAAGTATCAGTCAAGTGGTATTTAATAAAATGATGTTTGTTCAGAATGGCAAAATTTATCATATCAGAACACAAAAGATCTATTTTGTATTTGCTAAAGAAAAATTACTCTTAATAGAATAACTTCTATAAAATATAATTAGCATAGATGGTTCTTATTATGTATTCTCCCTTTCACAAATAGCATCGAATCAATCATTTGAGTTCAGGAATATGAGATTCACTAAGTTAAATTAATACTATCATCCCAAAATAAAAATTAATATTTAATTCAATGAAATTATATATACTACTATTTTAATATTTTAAGCCTAACTGTCCAACCACAGTGACCAACTTATCTGACAATGATAACACCATAAGCAGAACTATTAGGAAGACCTTTATAATTAAGTTATGAAGACTAACATAGAAAAATATGTATGTTAAGTAAAAAACATATCCAAATTACATGTTTTCTATCATTACAAATATATAGTTAAGAAACCTGCAGAAATAATACCAAAATGCTAATGTTCAATGCATTCAGATGATAGGATTATGGATTTTATCTACAGATTTTTCTTCTTCTAGATTTTATAGTTTTTAAAAGTTATGATGTCTCTTACAATTATAATGGGAAATATATATTTAAAACAAACTATTATTTGGCTGGCATGCTGATATTCAGAACTATGTGGTCCTGGCCTAAAATAAACTTTTCAGAAGAAACTGTCTTATTATATCTGTTTTGAAAGATTTAAGTAATATTTCAATCTCTATCAAAATTTCCACACCAGAGTGTAGAAAGACAAATTACAAAAGGGATGGAAGTGACTGAAAATACCTCAGTAAACTATGTCATCAAATTTTTATGGCCTTATGTCACCAAATCGAAAAAATAACAGAAATGGACAAGATCACAAGAAATCATTTGCACAAACAAGCAGCATCATTCCAAACCAGTGGAGAGGCAGTGTCCTCTTTCTTTTTCAAATTCTCCTGGTAAAATGACTCCTTACCCTCCTCCAGCAATTCTTGTTAAGCAAATGCTTTAGTTCTCTCATGAAAATAAAACCTCTTTATAAAAATCTAACAAGTTATAGCTGAAAAGGGCTATGGACTTTCACATACCTTAGTTCAAATCCAAACTCAAGTTCCTCATGTATAAAATGCAGCTAATACCACCTACACTACTGGATCATGAGCAGAATTAAATTAGTTATTGGTACAGCTCCTGAAATAATAAGCGATGTTCATTCTGTCTTTCCTCTTCCCCTAGTCAGTGTTTTTCAAAGTTTGGAATACTACCATGGCATCAGAATCACTGGGCATTTGTCACAAAGTTTAATTCTATAACTCTCAGAGACTTGGCCTCTAATTCTGCATTTTTATCAAATTTACAAGTGATTATTAGATATTCTAAAGCTTAAGGATCATTAAAATTAAGCTATTTTAATATATTTAACTACTTGGTCCTCTTCAGACTCAACAATTAAAAATCTTCTTTCTCCATAAAATATTTTATAATGTTGAAGGTGGTCCTCAAGGATAGGAAAGGGAAGGTCTTGGATCCTCTATGGGAAGTTAAAAATCCAAATTCTTTGACCCATTCTTCTAAGGGTGCATATTTTTCATGCTTTAAGCATCTGTCTTTCTCTGTAAAGCTTCCCTAGTTTCTTCACATGTCTGTTTAGGAACAACTTAAACTAAACTGTAACATATCATAGCTCAGAAAGGAAAAAATACTTACTAAAAGATCCCAAATTAACTAAGTCATTATTTATTAATAATTAATAATTTCATTATTTTTAGATAGCCAATAGGAATAACAGCTTCTTCCAAGCATGAGATAATGTGTCTATCTTATCCCCAAATTAAGAAATACCTGTCATAGATTTTAATACTAATTTTATTAATTTCTAATTAGATTTGAATTTCTAATTTTGGTATGTAGTTCAAAGTAACAACCAAAAAGGAAACATTTGAAATTAGTGGAAAAAATTTCCGCAACTTTATAATAATCAATAGCATTCTTTACATGAAAGTCAATTCTTACAACCCTCAAACTTCAGAACATAAAAATAAATTTCCATTTAGAGATTTCCCCCTTTTGGTTCCAAAATTGCTTATTCTAGAATAAGTAGTCCACACATAAAATTTAGCTGAATCAAATAGGAAACAATCATCAAATGCAAATATTAATTCAAAGCACATATTTTGCTTGTTTCATATTTCCCTTTTGTTTTTCTAGATAAAATCAGGAAATTGTAAAATTCTGACCAAAGACATTGGCATTTTCAAGTAACTCAGAAAAGGTAGATCATCAAGAGAAACTCCTGAGACATGGCAGTCATCAGTGTGTTCCAAGAGCCTCTGACTACAAGCCTTCTCTAGTTCACCCCCTGAAGATAGATCACTTGTGTTATTCATGCAGATGCACTCAATTGCCTTTACCAGATAAGTTACAAACACTCCGCTGCCAACCAAACGTGTCCTTTCTATTTACATCCGAACATTTTTCACACTCTTTAGCACAGTAATCTCCCTTCCCAAGAGAAGCTAATTCAAATACACTCATTAGCATCTTTGGTTACAAGAGCAATACAGTGTGTAGATGCTATTAATAAGGGTTCTATCATGGCTAAGTCAAGATTGGAAAAAATCCTATAGGTAGATATAAATGTAACCTGTATTTTATAAGCTCTGTACAAGTCATTATATGAGGTTCAGCTCTTTTTGAAATTTTGTACATATTAATGGCAGTCATCTCTCAATGCGGTCACTTTCTGTAACGCAGCCCAACTTGGAAGGTAACTGAATATGATTCCTCCAGGACAGGCTAGGTCTCCAAGGGGCACACAAAGGACAAGAACATGTCCAGCTGGTTCTTCACAATAACTTCATCTGGATGCAGCTTGTGGGGTAGATAATGGGCCAAGGTCATCTCCCAGGCATCGACGAGATATACTCCAACCCCAGAAAACATCCTCCGAAGGATGGTGTCCAGCTGAAAGTTGTACCAGTCGCTGTTGAAAAGGCTCACCTCAGGCCCCAGCTCTTGGGCATTGGCTGTCCGGATGACCACCACAGTCTTAGGGCTTCTATCCAGAAGCTGGACCACCGCTCGACGGATATTCCTGAGCCGCCGGATGTACACTTCCAAGGGGAAGGTGCTGAAGTGAGACCATACAGCTATGGCAACCACGGTGTTCTTCCCTCCCACAATACTGTTCAGCTCATTTGCCACATAATGGAGATCACTGCTAAAGACAGTCGTGAAGCGGATGGGCGGACCATGGCAGCGGTATTTGAGCAGGATGTTGTGCTTCTGGTCCACTGCAAGGAAGGGACCCACATTCTTGGGACTACCCAAGTTAAACTCCACTAAATCTGAAACAAGGAAAACTCAAGTTTATGAAAACATTCAAACCAAATACATATATTTTGATTTTTTTTTTTACTGAATGGCTTCACAGAAGTTTTTTTAAAAAATGTACACTATAAATGTAAAATAAATACTTATTTCACTGCACCTCTCCACTTTCAATCAGTGGACCTTTATTCTAACACATTTATTATTTAAACCACTCCATAAATGTGACATTATAAGTAATACCATCCGTGATAGATTCTACACCTATGTCTATGCCTCAAAACCAAAATAACCAGTTTTCCTCTAATTATCAGGCCAAGAAATCTTGCTGTTTGCACTGATCATTGAATATTTAAAATTCAAGTTGAATTTACATCTTATTCTTCTAACAGATCAATATTATTTCTTCCAGCACAGGGCTATAGCTTTCATTTTATGAGCACATAATAGTAACCAGAATTTTGGAAATTCTGTCATTTGACATGGATGTACCTACAGGACATTATGTTAAGTGAAATAAGCCACACACAGAAAGGCAAATACTCTATGATCTGGCATATGTGGAATCTAAAAAGCTACAGTAGAGAGTAGAAGGTCAGTTATCAGAGTGTAGGGGATTGTGGGAACAATGGGGATGCTGATCACAGGGTACAAAGTTTCAGGTAGACAGGAAGAAAAAGTTTTCCAGATCTATTGAACAGCATGGTAACCATAGTTAATAATAATGTATTGTATATTTCAAAATTGCTAAAAGATTTTAAATATTCTCACTATAAAAAAATAAATATGTGAGGTGCTGAATATGTTAATTAGCTTGATATAATCATTCCACAATGTACATATATATCAAAATATCACATTGTGTCCCATAAATGTACATAATTATTTGTCAACTAAAAATAATTTTTATAAATAGAATAAAAATAAAGCAACTTAAATTGTGATTCTGAAAAAAAACAAAACAAACCCAAATACTTCTTTTTGCAATAAGCAAAAGAAAGAAATAACCCTGTTTCTTTTAACTTTCACTTTTATCCTTCAGATGGAAAATCATGTTAATGTCCTATATGAGAACTTCTATATCATGAAAATAACAAAGACAGCAACACAAGTTAAAATTCACTTCTCTCCTTCTCCCTTTATCTAAATTTTGTTTCAAGGTCCAGTTCTTTGGAGACATTCTGAAGGTCCTAGAAATCAGTGGGACTCCTTGTTACTCCTAAAAGTGGTGTATAATTCATCACTTAATACATGCTCCCATGAAGAAAGAGGATCTATCTCATATCCCTGAATATTCCTGTAAGTTCCTTACAGAGAATGGACTAAAGAAATGCTGGGCAACACAATTCAGTATTTCCTAAGCACCTATTCAGGGCCCACTACTATAAGTACCACAAAGCCAACAGTACCCAGATGGATAAGTCACAGTCTTTGCTCTCAGTGAGTTTATGGTCAATTTTGAAGATGTAATATCAGACTATAATTGTCCTATAGTCCTCTTAAGGGTTAAAGTAGGTTTTAATTTTTTCTCCTTAAAGTTTCTCTCCTAGATTTCCCTATGTAATTTATTACTACTTAGCATCTGGCTCCATGTAAACTGAATAAAAGCTCAAGCCACCACTTTCTTTTGATTAAGATTAAGCACTAACACAAGGCTTTATTTTTATCAGGCGAAAATCTGTCTGTAAAGGGTATGGTGGAAAGTAATCAAAATGGTCAATGTGATCACTGTTATCAAAGGAAATACCATGCTATGTCAGTAGAACTTAAGAAGCAAGCAACTACAGACATCTGATCAGCATCAAATTGCGCCCAGTATCGTGCCATACAAATTATTTCCCTTCTCCTGATTTTTAATTTATGCTTTATCAACTAGAATTATTGCAATGTGTGCTTCAGAAAAACAAGCAAAACAAAAACTGGATTGGGGCCGGGCATGGTGGCTCACGCCTGTAATCCTAGCACTCTGGGAGGCCGAGGCAGGAGGATTGCTTGAGCTCAGGAGTTCGAGACCAGCCTGAGCAAGAGGGAGACCCCATCTCTACTATAAATACAAAGGAATTAGCCAAACAGCTAAAAATAGAAAAAATTAGCTGGGCATGGTGGCGCATGCCTATAGTCCCAGCTACTCGGGAGGCTGAGGCAGAAGGATCGCTTGAGCCCAGGAATTTGAGGTTGCTGTGAGCTAGGCTGATGCCATGGTATTCACTCTAGCCTGGGCAACAAAGCAAGACTCTGTCTCAAAAAAAAAAAAAAAAAAAATAGTTCCCACAAACTTATTTAATCAGTTCTCTAAATTTTCAGCAGAGCCTTTATTTCTGCTCCCTGATATCCATCCCTCCTCACCCCATCCACATCCCTTCCAGAAAGAGGAGAATGCCCACTGTGAAAAAGGGTGAGCTCTTTGGGTTTTGCTCTGAGTCTGGAGAGCAGCCCCAGAACCAAGCAGAGAAGTCAAGAAGCTGAGAATACCGGGACTCTCCCACACTCCCTCAGTAGGCACCAGCTCCATCCCAGAGTCACACCAAAGGTAGGCCCTGGATGACACAGGGATGGCTTTGCTTCAGGGTGCATTAAAATGGACCACAGTAAGTTTGGCAACTTCCTTCCAGTTAAATCTACTATAAACTTGGAGGAAAGTGAAACACACCTGTGAAGTGGCATGGTCCAGCTGTCTCATCTCATACATGGAGAAATGAAGCCCTGAGAAGTAAATGACTTGCCCAAGGTCACACAGCTAATCAGTGGCATGAACCTCAGTGAAAACCCAGTGCTTCCACTAGAACAACACGACCCCACCACTAATCAGAAACTGTCACACATCTCTCCAGGGTTAGGATACCTCTTTAGTCCTATTAAGAAATAACTGCTTCCTCTCCTGATGCTTTTCTTCAGGCACGTGAGTGAGTCTGCTCATTTGAAAGCTGATGGGAGAAAGAGTTATGAAACAAAAAGCAATGTACCAACCTGGAACAAATGTAGTAAGGTATTCGAACCATTGCCTAATTGTTGAATCACCAAATAAATGCACCACTTTTCTTTGTAAGCATTCTGTAATGTTGTCAGGGTCATTAAACTGACGCATCTTAAATTTTCTGGGCCTCCACTGGTCTTTATAATAATACCCAGAAGGAAAAGTGCCTGAGTCTTGAAATAGTTCTAGGTTATTAGTTTCTGTAAAGAAAAAGGAAAAAAATAAGATATTCTGAAATTCTCCTCCAACAATCAATGAAAAATGTCCCAAGAAACATAATTATGCCCACATACTTGCCAGCCTGCTGGTGTATGAGCAAATTTCCTGCTGTCATATCTCAAAGAAATCCCAGACTTTCCCCTGATACAGAAAGGTTCCCCTTTGCACAAAAATGGGAAGATCTGAATGGGTGTTGATGGACAGAAGATAAAAAGGGGACTTTGAGCATTCCCTCTGATTATGCGTGTTTTCACCAAAGTCAAATATAAAGGAAAACAAAAACCAAGGAAATGTGTGGATTTATAAGCATTTGTCCAGCATTATCCCAGAATAGAACAGCTTCTCCTCCAAATGCCTCTGAGGCAAGTAGCAACTTAAGTTCATATTTTACATATGTATACTAATAGTAATCCACTACTTCTCAGCCCATTAAAAGAAAAGTTTTAATCAATAGGTCTTATATTCAAATTTTAATTCCAAAACCCACCACTTGATACAGAGAACAAACTAATGGCATACAGTCTAAAGGACTATTCTCCACAATACAAAAGCTTCAGAAAGTCTCTATGCATAATCAGCAATACTAAAAATACATCAGCAGTGTGTACTCATGCTTATAGCTTAGCTACACATGATAACGCAAGTACCAGGACACTTTTCAGAGGGAGTGTCAACATCTTCCTGCCCTAACACCTCCCACAGAAAATGCCGCTGTGGAAACAACACACTTTACAGGCTTTAAAACAGATAGTGATGGTTAATATTTCTTGCAAGTTTACTCTGTACCAGACACTATCCTGACCAATTACATGTATTATCTCATATGATGCTCACAGTAACTATTAAAAGGTCCTATTACTATCCCTGCCTTTCAGTTAAGCAACTTGACTAAAGTCCCAGAGCTACGCTAGTCAGTAGCAAAGCCAGGACCTGACCCAAGCAGGTGAGCGCTGAAGCCCATGCTCTTAAGCACTGTATTAGACTGTTTCTCAAAAGTAGATGTTTATATTAATAGATGTCAGCCATTTCTTTTTTTTTGAAGGAACAAATTTATTCATTTCTAACAATTATTCAAATCTGTAATCTTCAAGAAACCACCAGTTTATATCACTTCCTGCCTACCCCAAAGTTCAACCTTGACCATAATCCAGTCATCCTATAGTCACCTATAAAACCACAATTTGAAATCTAAGTGCTTATACAACTCAGAAATTTGAGTCCCTTATTTGTGACCATTTTCAGCTTATTTACCTTCTTGATATTATCTGTGTTACACAAAGTTATTTTAGTTTTATTCCTTTTAAAGGTATCTTATTTGACAGTACACATCTAATCTTTTTTCTTAGGTATCTGCTCATTCTTTGCAGATGCAGGGCCCAAATGGAAAAGAAAACAGTGTTATTAAAGCTTTATTTGGAAAATGTGATTATCAAAGAAAAATTGGGGGTAGGGCAAATATTTGGCTTATTCAAAAATTTCTCAACATGTTATCAAAGTAGTTACTTGGTACTACATCTTGTTCAAAGCTCCCTCATTATATCAGTATGTCAAGGCTGCACAGCTAGTGAGCTCCAGAGACAACACCTGGGGCCCACAGAAAACATTTAGTAGAATGAGAATTTAAAGTGATTTTGAAGTTACAATTTTTACCACTGTTAATTTGGTAGACTTGGCTATTCTGTGTCAAATACATGTTATAAAGAAAAGTATGGGCCAGACGTGGTGGCTCACGCCTGTAATCCTAGCACTCTGGGAGGCTGAGGCGGGCAGATTGCTCAAGGTCAGGAATTCAAAACCAGCCTGAGCGAGACCCCGTCTCTACTATAAATAGAAAGAAATTAATTAACCAACTAAAAGTATATATACAAAAAAATTAGCCAGGCATGGTGGTGCATGCCTATAGTCCCAGCTACTTGGGAGGCTGAGGCAGTAGGATCACTTGAGCCCAGGAGACTGAGGTTGCTGTGAGCTAGGCTGATGCCATGGCACTCTAGCCTGGGCAACAAAGTGAGACTCTGTCTCAAAAAAAAAAAAAAAAAAAAACCAAACAAAAAAAAGAAAAGTATGTATCGCACAAGAAACAGTTACCATTTCCATTCAAATTTTAATTATATTCACAACCAGAGCTAAGTCAAGCAAAGCAAATCAATTACTGAACCTGACATTAATTCTTTAAACATGCTGCACGCTACATAACAGAACTGTATTTTTTTAAGTGAAATACATGTACCTACACTGCCCCCTTATGGTAAACTGGGACAAAAACATTTCCTAACTATGGTAATGGAGTTTTAAGTATCTGTGGTTAAGTGTTTCTGAGAACTCAGAAAGCATTTTCACAAAAGATAACTGAGATATGAAAGTCTCTTACATCTATAACTCCTAATGTACTATTCATGTGGAATAAAAATAATTAAAACATAAAAATAAAAATCAATTATTACTTAATTTTATGGCTGTAAAGGCAGATATGAAGGTCTTTGTGCAAAATCAGAAGGGAATTTTTTTTTATTATTTTCAAGTAATGCCCCTGCTTTTCTAAGATGTCTTGGCTTCTCGTTAAAGCCCATGGCTTACATTTTCCTCCAAAGGGTGTCATCCATGTCATCCATTAGCCATAATGAGGGCTATTTGCACCACAAATGGGACAAAATGAGAGAAAAAAAAAGCAGAGAGATAAATTTCCCTAACCTATCTAGAAAGTGCTGGATGAGAGGGATACAATGTGAATTAAGGGTGGGAGGGGAGTGTATGCACAAGTGCAGCATAGATGTCCCTTAATTTTATGCTATGAAATCATCTGTAGAATTAAGAACAGTAAAAAGCAGGACAAAATGGAGTACATAATTTATGAGGGAAAAAAAAGACACGACAGAGAAGAAATGGGATCAAACAATTCCCTGCACCAGAGAATGCCATGCATATAGGAAGCCTGGATACTATCTCCACAGGATAAGGAATGAGGACAGTGTGTGTTGAGCTGTTTAGGCACACCCTGTCAAGTGCTGAAAATATGAGAATGGTCTGGCTATCCAGTAATTATAGTGGCTTGGGTTTGAGTTTACTCCTTGAATTCTCCTATAAGACCTTGAAAATTTGATTGCTTTTTCCTCATATTTCAGTCCCCTAAAAGCTCAGCATTTTGCAGGAAAAAGTTAAAAATGCTGTATAGGTGGAAATACCTGCAGATTCACAGAATGTTGACAGGGATCTCAGAGAACTACTAGCCCAAATATCTTTCAAAGGTGAAGAAAGCAACTCACAGAATGACTTGCTAAAATTCCTCAAAGAATTTTAGCAGACAGGTAGTGGTTAGAGGTGGTACTGTTTATAAAGACAAATATATTTCATTATTGATGTAGTTGTGGGAAAGGGCTTCCTTCCCCCAAATTATATCAGTTAGTTCGTTTTTATATGGAGGATATGAGCCCTTTGATTTCCTAATTTAACATTTAAATAAAATGTATTCTATATCAAAGTATTTTTTCCAATAATTGGAAAGCAGCTGTTTTTAAAACAGCTTTGTCCCATTTGTTGTGAAAACATTTCTCTGCCATTTTCTAGAAATCAACATCAGACTTCTCATCCATAAATTGACTATTTTAGTTTTCATTCACTATTTATCATTCACTTCATCACTTGAATGCATTTGGATACTAGAGGGTTCATAAATTTCTCTACTGGAGACAAACGAAAACATCCAGATACTGTTAGACATACCTCCTAAGCTTGGTTAAGGGTAGTAGGAAAAAATGCTAGACTAGGAGTCACAGGACCCAGTTTAAATCTGACTCCACATCTCCAACTATGAGACCTCAGAAGTCACTTCTCACCTCACTCCCCACCTCTACCCTTAGAGTCTAGCCTAACAGAGCAGGTATCAAAATGATGACTGAATAAATGAGTTTCTTGAGCTCTGTTTTATCATCTATAAAATGGATAAACTACTACTGGTTATTTTGAAAAGTTGTCAAAATTCAGTACTGAAGTAGTGTGAAAGCACTTTTTTAAATAGTAAAGAGCTATGCTGGAGTCATGGAAACATATGTTCTAAATGTTCTATGTTCTGATCTAGATGGTAGTTATTCTAACTAGTTTTATATTGCTGTGTAACATGTCACCACAAACTTAGTGGCTTAAAAACAAGAGACATGCATTATCCCACAGTTCTGTAGGTCAGGAGTCCAAGGCAGAGTGTAGCCACAGGTCTCAGATTGCAATCAAGGTGTCAGCAGGGCTCTATTCTCTGGAGAAGAGTCTTCAGAAGGTTCATGCAAGTTGCTGGCGGAATTCAGATCCTTGTGGTTGTAAGACTGAGTTTCCCGATTGATTCCTTGCTAGTTGTCAGATGGGGGATGCCCTTCAGCTCCTAGATTTGGAAGCTGCCTATATTCCTTGCCATTGTGGTCCCTTCCATCTTTAAAGCCAGCAGTGAAGAATCTCCCTCACATGGAATCCTTCTCACATTTTGAATCTCTTTCTTTAGGAAGAGCTTGTTAAGGGCTTATGTGATAAGGTCAGGTCTACCTAGGATAAAGTCAGCTTTGTCATAGAGCATAATCAAATCATGGGAGTGATATACCATCATATTTATAAGCCTCTCCCATATTCGAGGGGAGGGGATTATGTAAGGGCACATGTCACTGGAAGTCATCTTAGTATTAAGCCTACCATAGTTACAAAGATACACATGAATGCAAAACTTCATTGTACTACATAATTATGATCTGTGTTGTCTACTGTATATAAGATATACTTCAACAAATTTTTTAAAAAGAGTAAAGGAGATGGGCATGTCGCTTACACCTGTAGTCATAGCACTTTGGGAGGGCGAGGTGGGAGGATCTCTTGAGACCAGCCTAACCAATAGCGAGACCCTGTCTCTACAATAAAAAAAAAAAAAAATTAGCTGGTGTGGTAACATAGTGGCATGCACCTGTAGTCCTAGATACTTGGGAGGCTGAGGCAGAAGGATTGCTTAAGTCTAGGAGTTAAAGGTTGTAGTGAGCTATGATCACACCACTGCACTCTAGCCTAGGTGAAAGAGTGAGACCTCATTTCTCACCAAAATAAATAAATAAATAAAGGGCTATAAAGATAGTATCTATACTATTGCTATTGTCTATTCTTATCTCAAATTCTTAGGAAGCTCCCCTCAAAAATATTAATTCAAGCTGTTGATGAGGTTAGAATCTGTAAAGGTCCCTGAGCCACTCAGCTGTGATAGTCAGGAACAACAGTACAGATGCTAATGAAAGCTCAGCAGCAATTCTGGCACTGTGAAAGCCTGTTGGGAACCAGACACTTGCCCTTGTTAAGGTAGTCTACTCTAATTAAAAACTGTTTTTCTTTGCTTTTGACTAAAATTACACCACAAATGGCAGTAGCACTAGCAATCTCAAGCAATCCACCAGACTCTAAATATGCATCTTAGAATAATTTTACCTTGTAAGAAAATTAAATAGCTAATACATAAATAAAATTTCATTGGGAAGAAACTTCAAAATATAGGATTCATAAATGAAATTATAAAAGTAGAAAGATTTATGAACTCTTCTAAGACTAGGGCAAAGAAAACAAAAGATGAGCCTCAAATATCTCATGGTGCTAGAAAATAATAAGGTGCTTCAACAAATAAAAATTAAAAAGGATGAGAGTACATTAAAAGGGCACAGAAACCAAACTAAAAAAGTTCCCAAATGCCAAAACTGGAACAATTTGTGCAAAAATAAAATAAAATAAACCATGACAGAATTGAATTGAATTATAACCCAAAGAATGAAATAATCATGAGCCCATACTAATATCGATAATTAAATGGGGAAAAGGGACAATTCTTTCTTTACAGAAGAATTCCAACTAGTAAGTTTCAAAGGAATGAGAGATACAGAAAATAACCATTAAAACACAAGAGAAATCATTAGTACAGGTAAGATCTGATGAACATTGATGAATGCTAAAATCAGTGGGTGAACGTTTAAGCACAAATACAACGTTTGAATAGAATGAAAGAGGAAGGAAAGTGAAAAATATGAGCCCTTCTAAGGGTCTTTGAATGCCCTCTGCTGGTCATTAGAGTAAACTTCAATGAAGTTCTGCTAAACTGGAGTCCTTATAGTCTATAAAGCAATTGCCTTTTTCTTTTCTTTCCAATTATGTACCAGCTACTAGATGGTTTTCTCACTCAAAGCCAAGCTATTCTGCTATCAGTTAGCCAGGCTAACTTATTTGTAGTTATTTTCTTCTTCTAAAAATCCATCAAAAACCTCACTAGTTACTGAATCTGTCTTTTCTCTAACCAGAATAGTACATCACAAACCTACAGCCACTTCCTGGCTGATTTCCCAGACCTGTCAAGTACAGGTAAAGCACTGACCATTCTATGAGATACTCAGGGACATGAGAAGGTGGGCAAGCCAGTCAGAGCTGTGGGAAAGTAGGGCAGATACAATAGTGGGGCAAGGCCTCCTGAGGACGTCAGACATGGGAGAGTGTGAAGAGTGCAGTATTACTGAGGGACACCATGTCTACTGACATCTAGGCTGTGGGGGGTTGAGGCCTAGACAGACAAAAGATAAATATTTTCATGGATGATATTTCACATATGTATCTTCTAAAATTAGTAATTCATCTGGTTCAAGTAAATCAAATATAGCTCTTCATTAGGAAAAGACTGAGAATTCTTGTGGCATATGACAGGAGAGAACAGAGGCATCGACTGGCAGCGCCCTTGCTACATCAGGGCCAGACAAACTTTATTTAAGCCATGCAATATTTTTTAAATTTTCAACTGAATGCCAATGTTTTAAAATCTGGAGATAGCACATTTAAAAATTTAAAAATTCTGGCTTTTCATGAAAAAAAAAATCTACAGATCTAGCCACATAGGGTTTGTTTCTGCATGGTAACAAAGCAGCAGGAAATGGGGAGAGGCTCCCAGTAAGACAGTCTTTGCCCTTCAGTTCCTTCCCCACCACTGACACAAGGCATGCATGTGGCTAATATCCACTCTAATTGAGCCACATATTTTATACACCTAGCCCCGGTAGCAAAAAGGTTTGCAACATCTGCAGTGTGGGATTCTGTTTTGGGGGTTTTTGTGTTTTGTTTTTTTAAGACACAGGGACTTGCTCTATCACTCAGGCTGGAGTGCAGCAGTGTGATCATAGCTCACTGAAGCCTCAAATTCCTGGGCTCAAGCAATCCTCTCACCTTAGCCTCCCAAGTAGCTGGGACTACAGAAGTATGCCACCATGCCTGGCTAATTCTTTTATTATTATTATTTTAATTTAGAGATGGGGTCTCACTATGTTGCCCAGGCTGGTCTCAAACTCAAGTGATTGTCCCACCTCAGCCTCCTGAGTAGGTGGTATTACAGGCTCAAACCACCACACCCAGCAAGTGGGATAGTACTGATTAATATCCTTTCAAAAGGACCTTGCCCACCATATGCATAAGTTTTATAAATAATGTTCATCTTTTCTTTCTAAAAATTACTACAGCTAATTATTTCTGCAAAAACATAACAGGTACATCTACTCCTTTGAATTTCATTCTTTTACTATTAATAATATCCTACACCAATGAATCACCTGGAAAGCTTGTTAAAATATAGACTGCTGGGCCGTACCAGCCAGTTTCTGATTCAGTGGTCTGAGGTAGGACCTGAGAAACTACAATTCTAGCAAGTCCCCTGGTAATGCTGATGCTGCTAGTCCCCAGACCACACTTTGAGAAAAGCCACTATTCACCAATCCAATGTTTCTTATTTTAAAATTGCCCATGATAATTTTACCTATAATTCTTGATTATCTGTAGAGCAGCAATATCCAAAAGAATTTTTTGTGATGACGGATACATTCTATATAAAATGCTGTCCAACATGGTAGCCACTATTGGGCATATGTGAAGAACTGCATTTTTATTTAATTTTAATTAATTTAATTTAAATAGCCACATGTGGTTAGTAGCCATCATATTGAACAGCAGGCCTCTAAAGACCCTTGCTGAGCCAAATAGAGGAGGCCTGGCAGAAGACAACTTTTATATGAGCATAAATAGCAAAACCCAGAATTATGAACATAAAAGGTCTAACTGGTTTTTTTTAATCAAACAGTTCTTTAAATATTTTTAATTGTGCCCAGAAGTAACTATGGTATATTAAAGGAAAAAAATTTTTTGCAACATCAGTGAAATGACAGAGCCTCCACCCAATTAGTAAGAAAAACAAGTCATCAAGCTCATTCCTTTTTTACCTTTTATTCTCCTGGGAATCACAGTTACCCAATCAGGTCCATTGGAGTTTATTGGCATTTTGATATTGACACCACTTTAAGAGGAATAAAAAAGCACAAGCTTAGGTTAAGGAACATTTATTTTCAGATATATATATATATATTTGCAAGTGAAAAAATGATTATAATTTCACAGAGCCTTATGATAATGAAATATACTTATAAATGTAAACCAACACAATTAATAATTAACTAGGTCTCTTGTAATAAGTATGTTTATATATATATATTTAACTAAAGAGCAATTAAACTGATTGCTAATTTTCACTGTACTATACTACTTAGTAGTATAGTAACTCCTCCTTCATGGAGCTGACATTCTAATGGGGGACATAGATGAAAACAAGTAATGAAGAGAGTATACAGGAGTGGCTACATTAGACAATAGTAGAATTTCATAGCTTAAATAAATGACTCTTTTTTTTTTAATCTCTATCCTGCTCCTTCTGTAAGGTAAGTTACTACTAAGGAGCGCAAACTCCAAAATGACCAACTCTGATATGAATGACTTACTTCCTTGGTTTTAGAGAATGGCTCATGCTGACAAGAATGCCTACTTTGTCCCCACCTAGTTTTCAGGCTGCATGTGTCAGATTCCTCAGGCCTTGCCCACATCTGAGATGAGTCTCAATGGGGACCCCCAGATATGTAACCTTGCAGTTCAGGTAACTTTGTCTGTTGTTACTATGACTCTTTAGCATCTGTTCCCCTTACTAAAGCACATACTACTTGAAGAGACGGATGGTATCTCATTCACCTTTGTACTTTCAGACTTAGCACAGGCCTGGTCTAGAGTCCATGCTCAGTAATTACTTTTGGAGGGCTGCATGAAAACCCGGGGAGTGGGGTGGAGGCCGGGAGAAGAGTACTGAAAACCCAGTCTACCTATTCAAGAAAACTGGGTCACAATAATTAGGCCTTTTACACTTAAACCAAAAACAAACAAACAAAAAAAAGTTAACTTTCTAAAGTCTTAGTATAGGAACATGCATCACAATTTTTTATTATCTCACCAATTTCAGAAAAGATTTGTTCATTCAAGGAATAATTCTTAAGCTTCTCAAGCCAAGCACTGTCCTAGATGTCAAGTCTATAAAAGTAAACAAAAGACCCAGCATCTCCTCCTTCATGGAGCTGACATTCTAATGGGGGACATAGATGAAAAACAGGTAATGAAGAGAGTACACAGGCCTGGCTACATTAGACAATAGTAGAATTTCATAGCTTAAATAAGTGACTTTTTTTTTTAATCTCGATCCTGCTCCTTCTATAAGGTACTTTTAAGAAAGCATATATAAACTACTTTCATTAGCTTAGAGTTTTATGGTAAGGAAAAGAAGAAATATAATTTATTTCACTATAATTATAATAATTATATATTATATATAATGATTTTCTTGCAAAAATATAAATTTTCCTGAAAAACATACTTATGAAGTGCAGTGCCATAATGTCTGCAATTTAGTCTCAAATGGTCTGGAGAAAAAGATTATACACAGATACATAAACACACACACTGACAGAAATATAAAGTAAAATGTGGTAAAACATTAACAATGATAAATCTAGGTTAAAGGTATATGGGTATTCATTATTATTATTTGTACAATGTTTCCAAAGACTTGAAGATATTTTAAACAAATTTAGAAAGAAAATGTATAAATCATGCTAAAATAAAAGGAAACTTTTCAGGTGATAAGCTCATTCTTTCAAAAGGCCTTCCCTTATATTAATAGAATCTTTTAAGCAAAGTACTATTGTCCTTTCCAACACTTTTTTTTCCTTACAGGTGAAGAAGAAAAATGACATTACCTTAGTTGTCCAACTGTCATTTAGGAGACTGAATACCAAGGCTAAGCTTCTTAATTCTTTCTGATCTAAGCAAGGTTATTATAAGCCACCAAGGAAGAACAGTAAAAATGGTTATCAGCTCAACATATTTGGGCCATGAGCTCAAAACATACCCAAAGATCCCTCAAAAGATCCATTTCAATCTTTCTCGTTTTCTTTTCAGACAGCCTAGTTAATACTCCAGAACTTTAACAGAGTAGAGGGATAGGAAAATGAAAATCAATTAACAAGACTCTGTCAAATATTTGGTTTCCAAAAACTTACACCACATCAAACACTGTTTTCCCAGCAAACTTCCATGTAAGTAGAATTTTGTAATGACTCTACTACAACGTGCCATCAGGTAGCCATCAGGTATAGGCAGGGACAAACACATTATTTTATCCTTGTGGATTCACAGGTGTTTTCTATTTCTAATGGTAGAATTTATAGTCAGGAATATTTTTAAGTTTTATAATAATTTAGTTCTCTAACCTTTCTGCCACTATATTCCACAAGGAATTTGAGTAAATTATAAAAAATGCTTCTTCTTCTTTGCACGGCCACTAAGTAGACTGACAATACAACTCTAATATGAAGTACATCTTCACACATAGACAAAAAAGGGCATAGAGATAAAATAATCCATAATCTACTCACAGTCATTGATAAACAGCATATCTGAAATATGAATCCAGGATTAAAACTAAAACTTTTGTTTTGGTTTTTTTTATAGAGGCCTTTTAGTTTAGTTTAGTTTTAGTTTTGTATTGAGCCATACAAAATTATTAGTCTCAGTACAATAAACATATACATTCAACATAATACTATGTTGAATAGTGCTCCCTCTGCTGGCCATCCAGAGGCATGGCAAGAGTCCACCGTGTGTAGTACTTAACTGATAAATGACCAGAAGCTGACTTCAGAAGTGGAAAATCAAAGGTTTTATTTTAGGAGCTCCTATACACAGCAAACTTTATGGTAGCAACTTTTTCCCAAGCAAGTAATGACTGGAAATAAAATATGAAATTTTTTAGGGTGCCCAGATGTACTCAACAAAAATGCCTCTCTACCAGGGAAAGTTTAAAAAGTATATATTTAATTAAAAAATAAAAAACTCCTCATTAGTATAGTGGTTAGTAAAAAAAATAAATACAAAACAAAAAAGAAAAACAGAAAGTAAAAAGCATGTATACATTCTTTTGAATAACTGTACCTTTTGACCATGTAGCTTTTATAACATTTTATTTTTTAGGAATGTTATTTTATTTCAGAATGGTATGGAATGTTGAACAAAAAACAAATTCTAATTCATACAGATTGCATACATTCTTTTCTGCACATTATTCCATATATTTATTGTTATGCTGAAAATGTTTTATGATACATTTTAGACATAGAAATTTGAGCACAATACTGTAATAATTTCAAAATTTGTTAACTTAAAAAATACAGTTTGTGGCCAGGCACGGTGGCTCACGCCTATAATCCTAGCACTCTGGGAGGCCGAGGCAGGCAGATTGCTCAAGGTCAGGAGTTCGAAATCAGCCTGAGCAAGAATGAGACCCCATACTAAAAATAGAAAGAAATTAATTGGCCAACTAAAAATATATATAGAAAAAATTAGCCGGGCATGGTGGCTCATGCCTGTAATCCTAGCTACTCAGGAGGCTGAGACAGAAGGATTGCTTGAGCCCAGGAATTTGAGAGTTGCTGTGAGCTAGGCTGACGCCACGGCACTCTAGCCCAGGCAACACAGTGAGACTCTGTCTCAAAAAAAAAAAAAAGTACAGTTTGTTGTGGTAGTCCTGGCTTCCCATGCTTATTATTAATTCAAGCCAGCAAGGTTGTCATATCCATAGTCTTTTTTCCTATCAATAAATGTTTATATGATTTTTATTTTATATTTTATATTTAATTTTTTTAAGGCTGATCAAGTGAAAGAGTGGGAATGGAGAAGGAACAAAGGATGACTTTTAAAACTAATATTATATCAAAACTAAAATTAAAAACTAAAATTGTTTAGTTTATTAGACATGAAGCTAAAACACCAGCCCTACTACTAGACCCCTAGTAGCCCTGCCCTTGGATTATTTATCTGTTTTGTGACTAAGTGATTTTGCTTATACAATTACTATGTAAATATGCTATGTAGTTCTGAAGAAAAACACAGGGTAAAGAACAAAAATTCAAGAATGAAAGGTCTTTAACTTGAACTTAAGCACTAAGCTTCACTTTTAAAACACTGGTCAAAAACACAAATCTGTGTTTATTTTCTTATTCACCACTTCTCCTGAATCGGATCAAGTTCAGAGAGATATAAGAACATATACCCCAAACCAGAAAGTCTCCTAAATGGGACAAGGACAGTGGAAAAGGAAATTACCTCCTAGAAAAAGCAGCACGTACCTCTGGAAGAAAGCGCTCTCTGAAGCAGTCAGGAGACCCTTCAGGTATCCACCTTTGAAATGATTAATTCTGCTGCTGCAAGGGAGCTTCTTTGGTTTGAAACAGAACCAGGGCTCTCCAGTGTAGAGATCTGTAAAGTTACACAAGGGCAGACTCCCAGGAAGACACACGTTGCACTCAGTAGTTTCAGAAATTCTTCCTGAACGGAAGAGACTCTTGAAATAGACCCTGTCTGGTTTCTCTTCCTGTAAGTACTGAAGAACTCGAATCCCTTCACTGGGGTGGACCAGAGTTACAGACACTTTAACTTTGCCCGGCCAGAGCAAAGTAAAAAAAACCTTGTAAAACCCATTCTGATAGTCTACCACTCTGCCCACAGCCCCTGCTTGCAACTTGGGGGAGTGAATTCTGGCCTGCAGGTAGTCTCCACCATACTTCTTGGGCTTCCTCTGAAAGTCCTGCACGTGAACCAGCACCTCCAGCTGGCTTCCCACATTGAAGAAGGCTGCCGAGTTTAAGATGACAAAGTAGCTGGAGGAAGGGTCAGTGCTCTTCACAAAGGGGACTGGGCCCACATCAGGAACCTGCCACTGCAAGGCAGCCAGCAATGAGTCCTCTTCCACGCGCTCCCGGTTGGACAGGGTCTGGTGCTCATAGCCACAGTAGGGATTCCGGCTAATTCCTGTCACTTGGGAGGAAACAAACTGCCCACTGCTGTCGATGAATGTGGCTGAAACAGTCTCATGGTCCAAGTACTGAAGAGAAAGACACAAACAACAGAAACTACCACTATAATAAATATTTGTATATTCAGCCAAACAAATCTCTCCTTCAGTTTAAATCTGTACAAAATCAATTGGAATGACATTGTTTCAAAAACACAATAAAATCAAAATGAGAAATAAGGGCAAAGCATGGTTGTAGCACTTAGGAAGTTGAGGCAGAAGGATCGCCTGAGGCCAGTTTGAGATCAGCCTGGGCAATAAAGCAAGATCCCATCTCTACAAAAAATTTAAAAATTAGCCAGTCATGCACCTGGAGTCCCAGCTACTTGGGATGCTGTGGTGAGAGGATCTTGTGAGTCCAGGAGTTGGAGGCTGCAGTGAGCTATGACTGTGCCCCTGTACTCTAGCCTGGGCAACAGAGTAAGACCCTGTCTCAAAAAAAAAAAAAAAAAAAAAAGAGAGAGAGAGAGAAATAAATTCACAGAGAGGTCCCCACACTTTTATTGAGTTTAACCTCCATAAGTTCTGTCAGGTTCTCACAGTCAATATCAAAGAAAAATCCCATTGGCCTTCTGACAAGAGAAAGGGAAAAAGAACCATTTTGAAATACACCAGAGCATTGTGTTCTTAACAAAACCTGTCCTCAAGAGAAACTATTTTACCAGAACCTAGCTGGTAAAATCGGGGTTTTATCAGAGCCTAATGAACCTGAGAGAAGCCCACTCTAGCTATCTGGTCCACAAGGAAGAAAAACTAAAAAGCACTGGTGAAGTTCACATCCAAGGAGCGCAGGCTCACTAAAGACTGAGACCTAATGATAGGATGATAGAATGCTTCCCCTCCCCCACATATTGCTACCACACCACTAAAAGTATATCTTTACCTGAGTTCCTTTCACCCAGTACAAAGCAGGTCTAGCTTTCAACAAAAAAATCACAATACATACTAAAAAGTAAAAACCACAGTTTGAAGACACAGAGCAAGCATCAGAACCAGACTCACATATGGCAGGAATGTTAGAATTATGAGACTGTGAGTTTAAAACAACTGTAATTAACATGCTAATGGCTCTAAATGGAAAAAGTAGACAACAACCAAGAATAGATGGTCCTTGTAAAACAGAGACATGGAAATCCTCAGAAAGAATCAAAACAAAACGCCAGAGATGAAACATACTGTAAGATAAATGAAAAATGCCTCTGATGGGCTCATCAGGAGCCTAGACACAGCTGAGGAAAGAGTCTCTGAGCTTGAGGATATTCCAATAGAAATTTCCAAAACAGAAAAGCAAAGAGACAAAAGGCTGAAAGACAGAACTCCCATGAACTGTGGCACAACTATAAAATGTGTAATTTGCACATAATGAACATACCAGAAGAAGGAAAAAAAGGAACAGAAGAAATGTTAGAAGCAATAATGACTGAGAATTCCCCTAGTTAAGTAAGACACCAAACTACATATCCAAAAAGCTAAGGGAATAGCAAGCAGGATAAGTGCCCCCCAAAACTATACCTAGGCCAATTATGCTCAAACTGTAGAAAATTAAAGATAAAGAAAAAAATCTTAAAAGAAGACAAAGGAAAAAAACCACCTTACTTATAGAGGAGCAAGAAAAGAATTACACCTGACTTGTCCTCAAAAACCACGCAAACAAGAAGAAAGTGGAGTAAAATTAAGAGCTGATAAAACAAAACAAAAAAACCATCAACCTAGAATTCTTTTTTTTTTTTTTTTTTTTTTGAGACAGAGTCTCACTTTGTTGCCCAGGCTAGAGTGAGTGCCATGGCGTCAGCCTGGCTCACAGCAACCTCAAACTTCTGGGCTCAAGCAATCCTACTGCCTCAGCCTCCCGAGTAGCTGGGACTACAGGCATGCGCCACCATGCCCGGCTAATTTTTTCTATATATTAGTTGTCCAATTAATTTCTTTCTTTCCGTGAGGCTGAGGTGGGAGGATCGCTTGAGGTCAAGAGTTTGAGACCAGCCTCAGCAAGAGTGAGAGCCTGTCTCTACTAAAAATAGAAAAAATTAGCTGGGTAACAAAAAAATAGAAAAAAATAGCCAAGTGTTGTGGCATGTGCCTGTAGTCCCAGCTACTAGGGAGGCTGAGACAGGAGAATCACTTGAGCCCAGGAGTTTAAAGTTGCTGTGAGCTAGGATGACGCCACGGCACTCTAGCCCAGGTGACAGAGCGAGACTCTGTCTCAAAAAAAAGAGAAAATAATAAGAAAAAATATATCTACTATTCATTAAGTGGAAGTAGATCATCACAAAGGTATTCATCCTCATCATCTTCATGTTGAGTAGGCTGAGGCAGACGAGGAAGGACAGGAGTTGGTCTGGCTGCCTCAGGGGTGGCAGAGGAGGGGAAGGTGTAGGATGGGGATGGGGAGGCAGGAGAAGTAGACATACACAGCACAACTTTACAGAAATACATTGTAATTTCTGTCTGACTTTTTTGCTTATTCATTTCTCTTAAAATGTTTCCATATGGTACCAATTTTTCTTCCACTGTTTCCTTTAGTTTCAGTGCCCATCATAGTAGGGTCCAAGTTATAAAAGTCAAAAGCAGTTCTGAAATAATCATAACCCTTCTGCCAAACTATCTAATGACAATTTGTTTTCTGTCACTACTATTTCTACATCTTCTTCCTCATAGCCGGATAGTGGTTCAGAAGTACCCATCTCCACCAAGTCATCTTCTGTTAATTCCTCTGGTGTAATGTCTATTAACTCTTGAATTTGTGGGCGAGCACGGTGGCTCACCCCTGTAATCCTAGCACTCTGGGAGGCTGGGGCGGGAGGACTGCTTGAGGTCAGGAGTTTGAGACCAGCCTGAACAAGAGTGAGACCCCGTCTCTACTAAAAATAGAAAAAATTAGCTGCGTGGCTACAAATATAAATAATTAGCCAGGTGTGGTGGCACACACCTGTAGTCCCAGCTACTCAGGAGACTGAGGCAGGAGGATTGCTTGAGCTTAGGAGTTTGAGATTGCTGTGAGCTAGGCTGATGCCACGGCACTCTAGCCTGGGCAACAGAGTGAGACTGTCTCAAAAAACAAAAAGCAAAAAACAAAACAAACAAACAAAAAAAAAAAAACTCTTGAATTTCTCTAAGACCTATATCTTGAAACCCTTCACCCTGTCCCCATCTTTTTTGCCACATCCACAATCTCTTTGATGGATTTCCTTGATTGACTCTGTGTAAATCCTGTGAAGTAATACACAACATCTGTACATGATTTTTTCCAGCAGGAATTTATTGTTTCAGGCTTGATAGCTTTCACAGCTTTTTCTATAACAATGATAGCATCTTCCATGGTGTAATCCTTCCTGACTTTCATGATGTTCTATTGGAGCTTTCATCACAATGACAGTCTTTTTCATAGAGTACCATGTGTAATGACCCCCTGATCTAGAGAATGAATGAGAGATGTTGTGTCTAGGGGCAAGTAGACCACTTCAATGCCTTCAGTGTTGAACTCATGGGGCTCTGGGTGACTGGGGCATTGTCCACTATCAAAAAAACTTTAAAGGCTGGGCGAGGTGGCTCATGCCTGTAATCCTAGCACTCTGGGAGGCCAAGGCGGGTGGATTGCTCGAGATCAGGAGTTCAAAACCAGCCTGAGCAAGACCCTGTCCCTACTAAAAATAGAAAGAAATTAATTGGCCAACTAAAAATATATATATACAAAAAATTAGCCGGGCATGGTGGCGCATGCCTGTAGTCCCAGCTTCTTGGGAGACTGAGGCAGGGGATCACTTGAGCCCAGGAGATTGAGGTTGCTGTGAGCTAGGCTGACGCCACGGCACTCACTCTAGCCTGGACAACAAAGTGAGACTCTATCTCAAAAAACTTTAAAAGGCAGTACCTTTTGGCAAAGTACTTCCTGAATTCAGAGACAAGGAATCATAGAACCAATCCAGAAAATTCTCATTGCCCAAGCCTTCTTATTGTACAACCTAAAGACTAGCAACTGGTATTTATCTTTTCCCTTCAAGGCTAGGGGTTACCAGTTTTATAGATACAGCATACCTGATCATAAACCCAACTGAATTTGCACAAAACAGTAGTTAGCTTATCCCTTTCTGCCTTAAACCCTGGTGCTCATATCTCTTCCTTATTAATAAATGGCCTTTGTGGCATATTTTTCCAGAATAGGGCAGTTTCATCTACATTAAAAAACCTGTTCAGGCAGATATTCTTTCTCCTTAATGATTTTCTTTCTTTTTTTTTTTTTGAGACAGAGTCTCACTCTGTTGCCTGGGCTAGAGTGCAAAGGTATCAGCCTAGCTCACAGCAACCTCAAACTCATAGGCTCAAGTGATCCCCCTGCCTCAGCTTCTCAAGTAGCTGGGACTACAGGCACGCACCACTGTGCCCGGCTAATTTTTTCCTTCTTTTTTTATTTTAGCATATTACGGAGGTATAAGTGTTAAGGTTACATATATTGCCCTTTCCCCCCCTCCCCCAGCTAATTTTTTCTATTTTTAGTTGTTTGGCTAATTTCTTTGTATTTATAGTAGAGAGGGGGTCTCGCTCTTGCTCAGGCTGGTCTCGAACTCCTGAACTCAAGCAATCCTCCTGCCTTGGCCTCCCAGAGTGCTGGGATTACAGGCATTAGCCGCCACACCTGGCCCTTAATGATTTTCTTAATGGCATCTGGGAATTTGTCTGCTGCCTCTTGGTTGGCAGAAGCCACTTCTACTATTATCTTGACATTTTTTAAGGCAAGCTTCTTTCTAAAATTATCAAACCATTCTTTGCTGCCATTAAATTCTCCAGCTTTAGATCCTTCACCTTCCTTTTGCTTTAAGTTGTCATATAATGACTTAGCTTTTTCTTAAATCCTGTTAGTGTCTATAGGTATGCCTTTCTTTTAGCAATCCCACGCCCACATAAAAGCTGCATTTTCAATATGAGATAAAAAGGTATTTCACAAAAAGTGCAAGGTTTTCAAGCCTGCTGGAATAGCTGCAGTGGTGGCTTCATGAATTTCCTTTTCCTTTTTTTACAATGGTACTTACATT